CCCCAAAACCCCAAAACCCCAAAACCCCAAAAGTTAACTTAAAAATTGAGTTAAGATTTTGAAGTTTGGGATTTTTAAAATCTTAATTTAAGTTTTTAAGATAATACAAAAGATGTCTAAGAAAGCACAGATGTATTCGAAAGTACCATTTGCATTAAAGTCAGCTTCAAAAGCAGGTAAGCTAGACCTACAAAGGCCTTGGTATTAATAGCTTAGTCATTTTTAGTTAGCCTTTGTGCTCACTGCTACTTTAGGTAATTTAGCCAGCTCAAGAAGAACAAAGGTAAGCGAGGGAAAATTAGTGAGACCTAGCTAGCACACAGAAAGCAATGTACTGATTTAGGAATTTTAGAGAGAAATGAAGATTTATAGTTGGTTTAGGAAAAAGAAGGAAAAGGGACTAAAGAACGAAAGATCGGTGAATCAAAGGAAGCTTATTTAGGAATTTCTTTGAGAGATAAAGATGTAATAGGGAAACTCAAAGGTAACCCATACCAGAGAGACTACAAGACTGCTCGTGACAGTAAGCCCAAGAAGAGACATGCAAGTAGCAGCCATAAAAGAGAATGTAAGCCATCCGTTCTAAGGACTTGAGTCCACTTGCGATGCGAGTAATCTTGAGGGTTAGTTCACTTTTCAATTTAGGGAGCACCTCAGGAAAATTAGCAGAGTCGCTTGAGGAATGATATTACTCGAATAAAAAGGCTATTGCTAAGCAAAGTATTGTCGATACTTTGATAAACCCAAAATAAACCATCCAAGAGGATAACAAAGACCTCCCAAGACCAGCTCACAGAACGACTTCTTCAGCACAAAGAAAGCGTCAATATGAAGGTTAAAGAAAAGCAAATTAGCATCTCCCTTCCTTTCAGTCACCCTAAAGCCCCAAACTCCCCTAGCCATCACCTCAGTCTGAACCTCGTTCCTAAAATCCCTTCTAAAACCAAAGCCTAAGAAGAAATCCCACACCAGCGCATATAGCATGTACGAGACCCAAAAGGAAAAGGACATTAAGAAACAAGCCAAGATGATCGAGATAGTGCTAACACAGAACAGGAAAGAAATAGCAGAGTTAAAGCAAGCCCAACCTTGTGAGAACTCTAGAAAGATTGTGAAGCATTGTAGGAGAAAAGGCAGTGTCCATAACAGACTTTTCATGCTAAGCCAGACATCTCGGAGAGGAGAAATAAGTGCTGGAGATGAGCCGAGTAAAAGTTTCATTGAGCCTAAGATAATCCGTGAAAAGAACTCTATTTTAGTGACTGATAGACTTATGAATGATGCCAAGAAGAGACAGAGAAACCGGAAATCTTTTAAGAAGGAAATAACCTCAGTTCTGAAGAAGGACTCAAAACCCTCAAAAGCTACCAAAAGTCAAGGTTATGCCTTCAAAAAGTTCTTGAAAGAGTATCAGGATGTGCTGATTGAGCTTGGGAAAGAGAAAAATGATGACTTCAGCTTTGGACAACTTTGCCAAGTTCTTCTCAAGATGGGCTTCATTACTTCTAAGGATGAGATAGATAAGGATGATGGCATTGTTGCTGATGTATGGGTCATGATGGGAGGAGAGACTGAGAATGTTATTAATGAGAACAGTATCTATCATATCCTTTGCATTATTTTAAACTTTGATAAGCCTTTCTTGTACGCAACCAAATCTCAAAACAAACACTTGCAAGATACTCAAGAGTTCCAGAACATTGACAAAAGTACAGTCGGAATGATAAGTGAGGCTGGTGTATTCTATCTCAGAAACAAGGGTGAATTTCCTCGGCTTCATAGCTATTTCTATGATCTTACTTTCAACAGGATTAGCCATAACAACATACAATCTATTGAAAAGAAATCGAGGATTAAGGATAACAAGCTAAAACCCATGTCTACTTTCCAGCCAAAGATAAATTCAGTATCCGAATCTATAGAGCTGAACAAGAATGAAAAATTCGGAAAATTGCCAAGGCATGAACTCTTGCTTCATAAGGGCAAAGCTTACAAGCAAGCGAAGGTTTATAAGGAAAACTTGGAGTTGAGCAAAGAGCTTGATGGATGCACATTTGCCCCAAATACAGCCAAAGCTAGATCAAAAATTTTGAAAAGTAAAACCAAAGCTCGCAATAGTATCAGTATAGAAGAGGCCAAATCAAACTTTAAAAACTCCTTACTAAGCTTTAACCTCGAAAGAGAGTCTGATTTTAGCGCTAAAAAACCCTTAAGGACCCACAGGGGTAATAAAAGGGTCAAACCTAAGATAAACAAGATCATATTAGACATAATCTCTGGCAAGGACCCTATGGTCCACTCCACAGATGTCTACCAGCAGTACAATACCATTCAGGGAACTTCTACCCACTAGAGCACCCACCGATCACCCAATGGATCCCTTAAGAATCCTTCCTGCGCTTGATTATTGAGAGATTTGGCCTGAAGTTCACGAAGAAAATAAAGAATTTGTTAAGGAAATTCAATTGGATTTTTCTTGAAAGGGGTTTTGGGGTTTTGGGGTTTTGGGGTTTTGGGG